AACCATTCCCAAGCCCACAACCAAACTGAACTACTAAATTCATATATTTCGTAACGTAACTATACCGGCGAAGTGGCCCACTCGCCTCGCGGATCACTATTTGTAAACGCATTCCAAACATCATACAGTCCACAACGTCATGTGCGAGTACGTAACCACAAAACGACACCAGAACTTCATCTAAATTACTGAGTCATTCACGGCGCTTGTTGCTGTTATGCGACCTGGGCTTTGGAAATCACGTGTTTGCCATGTGGCGTCGGTGAGAAATACGTCGGGTGAGCATGACAATATTGCAGAGAAGTGAGGAACCTGTGCTACTATTACGCGGAAGGCCATCACTGAAGGTGTCGCCTAAAATTAAAAGAAGAAAATCAAGAATCTTACCTAACTAAAAAAGTGAAATTCCTCGCGCAACATAGTGGTGGCCATTACATCTCACATCTTACATCTTGATGTAACAGTGAATCGAGATATATCAAGAATAACGGAAAAATTCGCGTAACAAACATGCCCCTCAGGCGGAGTGACTTTTCATGGCTGTCGTGAGATGTAACAAAAATTTTAACTAGCTTTGTAGCGATTCGGTCGCTCGAGGGCGGCGGTGGTGCACGTTATAAAGTCGGTGGGGTTCCGAAAGACTTCAGTCACAAACGTTTTCTCAGGAGCTCGGATCTGTGCAAGCACAGGCAATGTCTCGACAAAACCTCGTCAATTTCAGTTGCTCCTTTTTGAAATTAAACTCGAAGGACCTCAGTTGCGCATAAAGGCTATAACATAAAGCTTAATCATTTCATATTGTAGCATTGCTCCATTCTATCTTAGAAAATAGCATGGAATCATGGACATGAGTGGTGCATCCCCCTATATTACAGTACATGCCAGGACAGTAGCCACTACCGTTATGTCCTAATCAGTCCACGTTTTGATGCGATTTGGTATCACACTTTTGAGCATCAAAACGCTCACCATTGGAGCATAAACGATATTCGCCACTAAAAATACGTGAAAACGACACATGTACACCTGTGAATTACTTTTTAACCTAGCAAAAGATGTTAAATGCAGCTCGCGAAAAATAAAATTCCCTATCCCGAACCTGCTCAGTGCTGAAAACGCCGTGTTAAACGTTTAGCCTATATATATATATATATATATATATATATATATATATATATATATATATATATACAGTGTGCATGCATGAAGCTACGCATGAGCAGGGCCCAGCACTGCAAGCAACCTTCGTATTTGTTCCGAGGGTTCTCGACCAGGGCGACACCTATATAGTCCGAGGCTGTGTGTGAGGCGACACCTATGAGAATTGCTCGATAAAATGTTTGATCGCATTGACGTGCTTTGGAGTAACTTCACGTCCTAACTTCCGTATGACCATGTCTCAGCGAATGAGCACAGTGGGTATGACAATATACTATATGCCATTAGTTACATCTATCTCGTTAACGGCCAGACCACTAGAGCCACAAACAGCCAACGGGTGCCAAAGCAACGCAGTTGCAGGCCCCACCTTGTCTAAACTGAGGCCGGCCCTACCCTGTCCTAACCGGGGCCTACCCCACCTTGTCTAAACTGGGGCCAACTCCATGCTGCTTAAACGTTGTCCAAACTTGGGCCTAACCCACCCTGTCTAAACCGGGGCCGACCTCACCTTGTTTAAAGAAGGGCCGACCCCGCCCTGTCTAAACTAGAGCCGATTCCATGCCGCTTAAACTGGGGCCGACCACACGCTGTCCAAACTTGGGCCGACCCCACGCTGTCTAAACTGGAACCGATTCCATGCCGCTTAAACTGGGGCCGACCCCACGTTGTCCAAACCTGGGCCGACCCCACCCTGTCTAAACTGGAGCCGACTCCATGCCTTTTAAACTGGGGCCGACCCCACGTTGTCCAAACTTGGGCCGACCCCACCCTGTCTAAACTGGGACCGACCTCACCTTGTTCAAAGTAGGGCCGACCCCATGCTGTTCAAACTGGGCCGACCCCACCTCGTTTAAGGTAGGGCCGACCAGGAACCAGATCAGCTCCACGGTCAAGGTCGACCCAGTGCAACACAAAACATGCCCTCGCTAAGCTAAGCTGGACTTAATGTAACTGCCCTGATAAAGCAAACCACGGAAGTCCGAGTCCCTGCTGAGCAGCTCTGCATGTAAGTACGCCTCTGCTGAATGACCAAGGCTCTGTCCTAAGGTGTGGAATGTGGGATGTTGTCAGTGCCGCAGCTAGCCAACCACTTAGCCAAGGTGGGTGCCTTTGTCTCATAGAAATTGGTTGCTAAACATATGCAGTAGCATTTAAAGAATCGTTTAGACCAAGAAAAGCTTAATTTTTACCCTTCACCCTCTATTTTTAATAGTTTGAATCGCAGGATTTAGAAATGAACTACCAAGGTTAGTCCAATGACATTTGTCCCACCAAATCCTGACAAGTGGTTTTCGAGATTTCTCTGGAAGCGGGGAGGAGGCAGAACTGTCCCCCCGCGGCTTAGCGTAAATCTCACAGCCCGTGGGGAATAAGGTTTTTGTGCTACACAACACTGTGAGGCATCAAAGCATACTCACTTCAACAATGTTCTTGCACCTACGACATTGACACAGCACCATGACAAGAAAACAACTTCTGTTATAGATTTCCAGATAACTTAAACGCCTGGCGGGCTCGTCCAAATATTTCGAGGGGATACAGAGACCCCCAGGACAACGCTGGCTGCGCCCCTGGGCGCAGTCCGCACCGAAGCCCATGCCAACCACCTGACGTTTAGTTTTGATAAACAGCCTTTCGCCTCGGCAGGATTACCCTCGATTCAAAATAGTAAGAGCTCGTAGTTTGAGCTACAATAATGCAGCCGTCCTGATTGAGCCATGACTCGCGCGTAGTCACACGTGTCTCCGCACCGCACCAACAGACCATCAGGGGATCAGGCGGGGGCTAGTTGGACCGACGACAGCCTGTTGCCTAGCACCGCCAGCAGTGCGGTGGCTGGCTGCAAAATTTCTAATCTTGTTACAGGCTGGAGAGCTTACGGTTCTATTGCTTTAACAAAATAAGCTATGTGCTGCAAATTGCTTATCTCAAATCAGTCTTACGTAATAAATGGGAAACCTTGTCAGTTGGCCCTTAATATCTCGAGATCCGTCAGAGACCCATAACCTGACATGTTCGGAATCAACGTGACGGAATGAAGGCTTATACAACATGCCAGTCCGGAACAAAACACCATACGCGATGCAACGCGATAAAAATCGCCCTATGAGGAGAGCGTCGGCAACGGTCGGCTTCGCGTCACCTAAAGTGCATGGGCAGTGAAGGATTTCGGCATCCGCGTACCGATCGTTCGATTGTATGCTGCCATTTGCGAGAAGGATATGAGATTCCGTAGACTAGATAGCTTTTGCTCATGCTATGCACAAGGCCGTAAAAGAACGTCCATATCTTTCGTTTTGCAGGTTCTCAGGACTTATGTGACAGCCAGTTAACCAACCAACTCCTTGTAAGTTGGCAATGGCTCGGTCCAGCGCGGACAGCTAGCTGAAGGTTCCCTCCGCTGAAACCGCAGATTTCGCCGGTCGACAGGTCCTACCGACCTGGAAGAATGGTGCCAAGACCCTGCCTGGCTCAGCGAGCAGGTCATCCTCGGGCAAAAACACTTCGTTGCTGATTATATGAACCCCTGGCAAGGGCAATGGGGGGTAAGGTCGAAATATGGTGCAAAGGTGAACACTGGTGGAAACGTATTTTTGCGAACATATACTCCATTAACACGAGTGATCTGCAGCTGGAAATTTCATTGGAATGTTTCCAGCTATGAAATGCAAATACGTACACCAACGACGAAAGATTGATTTGGAACATAAACCGAACATAATTACATGAAATCCCTGCTCCACAGTCCCTCTTCCATCACCCGGGCATCGCTGGGGTCGCAGCTAGTACATCATATTGCCGAACTTTGAAATTGAAATAATATTCTGGTAAGATTGATAGTCCTGCCGTACGTAGTGCAACCATCTAAAAATGTATCCCGATGATTTGCTTGCTATTTCTATTCGACCAATATATCGTTGCATCTTGAAAGTCAGTCATTATCAGCACAATGACCCACGTCTCCCCCAGTCGGACAAGGGCAAAAATACAGGATCGTTTGCAGAAAGGTGTAGCATGTATGCACGCCGAGTAAAAACGATTGCATGCATCAGCGACAAAATCGAAGTGGCTTAACACTCAATGCCTGCTTTTGAGACGGCATCCGCAAAGTTGCGATTTGAAATATGCTCGGCGTGGAACAATTAACAGCCTTCAGATGTTCGCCTTGCACGCTGTCCCAGCTCAGGCAAGCCAACGCATCGGAGACCAGCACGCATCTAACCCCGACTGAGGTTGAACGCTGTCCCAGGAGTCGCTGACGGTGAATCACATTTTACGTAACTTTCCAACCCTGCTCAAAGTCGACGCACCAAATTTGCTGATTTTCGGTCACACAAGATATGTGCAGCAGTCGTGATTATCGCGACGGGAAAAGTCAAGCAAATCTCACCAAACGCCCCGGAATTAAACGGGAAATTCCTGCACCGCCACGACCGCAAATACCGGGGACTGGTTTGCAACGTAACCGTGCCAGCCGGAAAACTACATCGTCGAGCAGCCCTTACGAAAGTCGCCCACTCACGACTTTGGACTTAAATGGAGCGGGTCGCCACGCTGTTGGTGGCGGGCCCGCTGTCCAGACAGAACGGCCGCCTGGGATTTGTGTGCCGGTGTCAGTAAAGCCTTGGGTCCCTGCCGGCTTCGTTGAAGAACGGGTGGCTAAACGACCGTCAGTGACCGGTGTTGTCACACGCAGACTCGTTTCGATTCCGGATTTAAGTAGGACTTAGTGGCCTTGATTCAACCCATCCAAACATGCAGACATATCCAATGCTTAATCTCTAGTTTAGAGACAGGCATATTATCACATTCCTAATTTCAACAATCTGAATAAAAAATTTTGAAGACAGGGCGGATTTATTCTTCCGTATATCAGCAGCCACAGCTATGAAAGTCGTTTCTGGCTAACTGTGCGTCCAAGATAGATACAAAATGACGGAAAACGCTTGAGCACAAGCTTTTGAAAATCACCAGATGACTACCGCACTTTAACGAGGCAATGTTTATATTGACCCTGATGTAAACGACACCACCTTATCTGTACAGTCTACACAGAGTACAAGTGAATGCTTCAAAAATATCCGACACAGATAGACGCAGCACCTTCAGACACCATGCGATTGCAGCGGTGAAACGTCACCCTCATGCTTTCAGCGCCTTGACACCAGATCACGGCCTACAATCACAACGCACGATTTTTACAAAAGCCATTCAAAATAAAAAGGCATCACGACCACCCTTCCGTCTGAACCCATTCGCCAACAACTGCGCAGCCTAAACACTGCACACGGAACATTTCGTCGTTTACCAAATAAAACAGACCACTCTTCCATCTCCTTGACCCGGGTTCCGATTCTATCCATGCGTATACATTCACGCATAAAATTTCAACAGGCCCACCGCGGCCGAAGCCTCTTGTCCCCCCTCCCCTCCCCTACCCCTCCCACCAGCTAACTACCACCCGGCGCGCGCGTTAAAGCTCGTCGTGTTTCGGGCCCGAGAACTCCTCATGCGAGATGAACCCGTCCTTGTCGGCGTCCTCGTGCTGGAAAATCTCCTCGATCAGCTTATCCTGTAAACGGACGGACGTCGTTAGTCCACAGGCTGATGCTGGATCTCGACTGTTCGGACCACGAACTCGCTATGTCGGCGGGACGGTCCCCAGCCACGCTAGCGAAGCACGCAGCCCGCAGGCAGGTGCAGCTCCCATTCAGGCACAGGGAGAGCCGTTTGACCCCCGGACTATCGCATCCAAAAGAGTGGCCATGACACGTGGAGTGTTACACTTTCCCTCTCAGGTCCGGGCAACCATATGTCGCAACTGATCCCGGTTACAGTCTCAGTGACGCCTTACGTTCGTCCATGTGACCAAGGATCCAGTAAAATATGGTGGTCACTAAACCCTCTCTCTCTGGACGTTAGTCGCCTGTCAACAGCACCTGGTGCCAAACTCCTGCGCTGGTCTAAGCAATCTGCACTCCAACCAACAACTAAGCTTTCTGACCGGTTTGTCGGGGTTTTCCTGGACAATGCCGCGGTGAAGTAGGTCACAAAACAAAAAGATCCATTGCGCCGCCATACTGAATACAAAAACACATGTACTTGGCCCACTGCCGCAAACAGTATGGTGACTGGTTAGAAACTAACCTTCATATCCCCTAGCATCATTTAAACACCCAGAGACCACCCAAACCAGGGCGAGTCAACTCCAAACGGGCGACCACAACGCGCTCGCCAGCCGGCGCGCACCTGGTTCTGCAGCATCTCGTCCATCTGGCCTTCGGGCATCTCGCCCTTCTGCTGCTCCAGCTGCTGCGACAGGTAAGTCTGGATCTCCTCGCGGCTGATCTGCTGGTCGCCGTCCGTGTCCACCATCTTGAACACGTTCTGTGGCGGCGGCGCCTCGTTGATCGACAGCAGCTCAACGTCAAAGTTCAGCGTGGCACCTGCGATAGGTCAAATAGCACCGGGTCAGCGAGGCTGCTGTCAGCAGCAGGCCGGCAGGCGTCAGGTTTCCGGCCGCGTGGTCACCTAACAATGGCTCCTGCGCGTCGAACCGAGTCAAACAGGCACACAGTCGGGAGAGGGCATGAGGTTTGACATCCCCTGAGCCCTGCACAGAGTAGGCTTCACACACGAGAGACATGGGGCGCAATGCCACGGCCCAATTATTACCCTGACGACCAAAGCCTATGCCTATGCCAATGCCGATGTCAATGTCATTACTCCACGGATCACACATATACGCACACACTTCCGAATTGGGAGACCGTGCCACATGCACCAATGAGGTGGGCAGCACAAACACCCAATGATCACATCACTAAATCAGGACAGCTCGCCCCCAGCACCATATAAGTCGGTGACCCAAGTATCTCCCACACATGGCGCTAGAACAGGGAAGAACGTAAGCAAGCGCTCTGCCCGTGCCCCCTGACTCACCTCCCGGGATAACCTCGCCGGCGCCCTGCTCGCCGTAGCCCAGGCTGGGCGGAACGACCAGCTTGCGCTTCTCTCCAACGCACATGTCGGTCAGGCCCTGGTCCCAGCCCTTGATCACCTGGCCCACGCCCAGCTGGAAGTTGAATGGCTGATTCCGGTCCAGGCTGCAAGCAGAACCATGTGGTCAACATACATACTTGGTTTGCATGTGTCTTAATGTGTGAGAGCCAGACTTGCCCTCATCCTAACTTATTTGACAATATTTCACAATAGCTCCACTTCTGTCACATTGGACTTATACTGACAACTCCAATATTCCATCTGTGAGTGCACACAAACATGTTTAAATACAAAAGGTCACAATTTACACCCATATATATTTTGATTTTCCATTGGATTAATCAATCCCCAGTGATGAAGTTAATAATTTCTCATCATTCATTTTTCTTATCTTTATCACCACTAAATTATCAGCATCATTTTAACTCACAGTGGACAGGCTGGGACTCATGAACCACCCATAAGCAATATTAAAACATATGCAGTTTAAGCTGGTTAGATGGTCACATGCACTGGTAATAATTAAATCATGTTCCTACTTCAAATTGTAGATGCATTTGCTTTGTTTACATGATTATCAGTCATTGGGTACAACTACAATTTTACTTTTGTATCCATTTCCGAACAATGCAGGGACAAAAGATTGATGAGGATGATGCTTATGGTAAGCCACAAAGGAAGACAGCATTCTTCTAATAGTGCACTGATCACATAAAAGATACAGTTCACCACACCTGCACAAGCGCAAGTTTCCAAAATGTTCCATACATGAAGGACATTGGGTAAACTAATTTGATTCAACATTTTGCAGAGGGTTCAACCCAGGGGCCAGCAATGCCCCACAGATGGGCTTCTCATTAGATTCAGCCTGTATCATGTTGACAACAAATTTTCAGTAAATATATAAATAAACATACAAAATAGTCTGCCATTCCAGTAGCAGATCCATCCTTGCAACCAAATAATTCTCAATGAAAGTAAAAAGGAAGCAAATTTGGAATAGCACTGAGAATTTTATTCAAGTTTTGTGGCACCCCAGCAAAATATTGGGTGGGCCGAAATCAATCTTGCAGGTCCACAGCAATGATGGTGGCCTCCACCCCCACAAAAGAAAACAAACCAAAACCCATCCAGTGTCCTGGATCGTGCCGGATGGTCGGGCAACACGACACTCACCTGGAATCAAATTTTGTTCCATCTGCAAGTGTTCCAGTGTAGTGCATTGACAGCATGTCCCCATTCTTTGTTAGTTTCTCACATTCTTCAGGCTTGAAAACATTCTCCACTTTAAGTTCATCCTCAGCACAAACACAGACCAGGGCAGCAAAGAGGCAAATAATAGTCTTCATACTGAAACTTGAATAATTTCGTTCTGGAAGCGCTGTCCGGAAGTTTGTGTTGGAAGCAAGGAGCAGCAATGCTCACACACACAACTTGAAGTAAAACTAATAATTTAAAACAAAGCTCTGGCACAATGCAACCCCCAGCTGTACAACCGCACACGGCCGCACCAACCGTACCACCCCTTCGAGGAAACGCCGCAGAACTGAGCGCAATGCTGGAAGCCGCTGACGCCGTTGCCACGACAACAGTCGTGTTATTACCAGATGTGGTTTATTTCTAGTTTACTACCGTTTCTATTTTCAACATGCTGCTATTGAAAGTACATATATCACAATTACCTCGAAAAATATTATTTATGAACTAGCTTATTCAACAAGTCTAGTTTCAAAGCATATCACTCGCTTTTTTTTCTAGAAGTGTAAACTATATATATCAAAAATGAAGTATGTAATAAAATATAATATAGTATGCATTGAAATTAAGCTAAGAACCACCAAGGAACTCATGACGAAGCATTCGTCACATGTCAATGATCCCCGGAGCGTGGAAGCGGGGGCCGGCCGTAGCCTTGCAGTTGGTGTTATGGTAGAGAACAGATGGAATGGGTATCTAAAAGGTACTCGCCAAATGTCGGTTTCATCTAGAGGCACGGGTAAGGGCTATAGGGGGGGGGGGGGGGGTGCCCTAGCGGCCGGAACGGCTCCTTGGGATCGACGACCAGCAGCCTGATTTGAGGTCACGATGGCCGAAGGTCGCGTTAGGGGTCTCCGGACCGCAGAACTAGGCCCTTGATTGGCAGTTAAAGGGCTCTCTGCGCCGATTGGACCCCTGAGTCGATGAGGGCCTCTATCTCGATCAGGCGTCACCAGCACCGAATAGTCTGCCCCACGGGTGTCGATTTGTATTGTTTTGTGAGGGCCCTGCCGCCCATGTCGAGTTCCCCCCCCCCCATGTTGAGTTGCCTCCTCCCCCCAATGTTGGCTTGCCCCCACAACGTTTTTGGTTGGAATAATACAAAACACGTGGGTAAAAGATGATCATAACACAAAGACTATCTTCTTTGACGTTTCTGCGTAGTGACGTCTCGTTCCACTCTCATGGCAAAAAGTCATGGATGCGCTCGCCACAAAATACAAACAGAAACAGCTGAGTGGCTGAACGAAGCAACAAACTTCACATACCTAGCGCAATAAGACTTCCAATGGTTTGAGAGGTTAAAGTGAAAAGCTTTGGAATATGGGGATGACCAAATCCTTCATGGCTAACCCCGCCCCCGTCCTCCACAACCGAAATACGTGCCGCCTCCCATGAACGCCATAGAAGAGCGTCATCGGCGTCCTAAGGTGGCCTCTAAAGGGGCGCTTTCACGTGCCGATCAGAAGAGACGCGTGCGCCTAGTACCTGCTCCCTGGATCCAACCCGGCATGACTTCTATTCTGCTTAAATTAAGGACTTTTATAAATTATACAAAGACTAAAAACTTATATTGCGTCTCACCAAAGTAAGATGGCCTGATTCCGGTGAGAATAAATGGTGGAGGGGGGGGGGGTAGGTTGTCGAGCCTTCGGTTCGCCCACTGCATTATTTACAAAAATTGACACCCGGTCTGCTCCGTGTTGGCCTCGGCCTGAGGACCCATTTATTAAGCAGGGGCAATGCCGGAACCCGTGATTTACATTGGCAGCCACTGAGTCCATAAGAAGCCTCCGTTGCCGGTCGGGGTCGCACAGTCCCTACCTAACAGGCATCCAGTGATGGCAAGGGGTCCCGGGTGGGCCAGGGGCAGTGATCGAAGGAGCCTGAATGGGGCCCGAAGGGGCGCTCGGGACCACTGATCAAGCACGCGATGGGTGGGCCTGAGAGTATGGCTGTAGGTCAAATCAAGGATCCGGCCCATAGTGCCGGTCCCACAACATCTGCTGAAAAGGGGCAGGGACGGGCGCCGATGCCAGAGGACCTCTTGCGTTAGTTGGGACCCTCTGACAATGAAAACAGCCGTGAGAACTCACGATTAGTGTCGGCAATGACGCCCTGGCTTTGTCAGCCAGGGTACCCGGTGCCGAATGGGGGCCTCTACCCAGAGGCGTCGGTGCCGCGGATTTTGAGTTGGGAGGGGCAGAGTTTTCCAGGTGTCTCCTGGGCAAAATCAGGTGTCCTCACAAGAGGACCTCATGTGCAGTGTGGTATTGAAGGGAAAGGGCGTCGAGGGCGGGTGCCCTCTTATAAACTTGCTATATGTATCATATCCAAGTAAGTAAACATCAGCAATCCAAAAATCCGGAAAGGGGCCTACTGATTAACCAGTGAGGGCCCCCGCTGTCCAAAAACGGAACATTCCGACCCGGAACCGTGACAATTTAAGGCATGAAAGGGGCTTTCTGAATACATGTAGAGGGTACTTCGTAACCAGAAACAAGGCCCTCCTTGTTTGTAACGGGGTCTCTCAAGCCAGTAAAGAGGCTTCCCTGGAAAAATGGGCCTGCTTATCTGGAACGTGGACTAACTTGTCGTAAAGGTGGCATTATGATCTAGGAGATGGGCTTCTTGATCTAGAAGAAGGTCTTCTGACCCCGAATTATTTATCTGTAGCTCGTTTATGGTGCTTCTTTGATCTGAGCTTTGGTGAACTAAGGGTAGCTACGATGCCTTTAGTTTGGGAAAAAGGTCTACCACAAATTGTGGGGGCAAAAACATACTCTTGCCCCAACGCCCGCCGAGGGGGTGGTTAACCGCCAACTATGGCGCGCTACCCTCCTGCTGCACCCCCCGTGCATCCACCATATTTCAGCCAGGGTCCGCTAAGCCGAAATTAAGCATCTGCGCCAGTTATTTAACTGCCTGCAACCATGAGGGATCTTTTTGCGCCAAGAAAGGTCACTGTCTCGATCAGGGGCCACTGCCCGGGTCAGAGGGCCACCGCGTCAGAGGGTGGACGAATTCCATCTCAGGATATCCAGATCGACAATTTGTCAGGGCTTTTAACAGCAAGTCACAGTTTTTGTAGGTCAATAGCACACGGGGGATTATGCAGGGAGTAGTTGCCGTTCATTACTACGATGCAGTGTTAATCCAACGAAGAGCTAAGATATGCGAAAAACACACGCACATGCAAACGAATTTAAGTAAACAGGTATCATGTATCACACATCATTCGTGCATGTAAGCAGCTTAAAGCAGGCAGGCATCCTCCATTATGCATCACTAATGCATGTAAGCAATTTATATGAAACAGGCATCATGCATTACGCACCAGGCATCAATTATGCAAGCAGACAACTTTAAATTAGCACACATCACACACCAAAACCCTATTCACACTCGCATAATCGGACATAATGAGCCCTGTATGCTAATGTCTGGATGCCGACTTTTTATGAATGGATTTACTTATTTTCCTACCTGGATGGTTTTGTGCTCTGTAGATGACTTTGAGCTCTAAAAGGGAATGTGGTCAGTGCCTCCCTGGATTTCAGCCTGAGTGTGCTTTGTCCAAAAAAAGGTTGCTCAAAGTAGTATTCTCTGTTTTGTTTTTAGCGTCCCGCAGGTGTTTTTTTCACGAAAACTGTGTGAAAAACATGGGAAGGACGTAGTCTTTGTCGTGGAGTCCACCCACCCTATTCGTTTGGGATATAATGAGCACATGTGAAACGCTAAAAACAAAACAGAGAATACCCCTTTCGGTGACCAATTTTTGGCAAAACACGCTCAGGCTGAAATCCGTGAAGCTACCCGACGGGGCGTGGGGCAGCAAGCGAGCCGGCCGTGGCCAGGAGCTCCCATCCGAACAAAACAGGACCATTGGGCAAAAAAGGAGTCTGAGAAGTCAACGCAGACCCGCGAAAACACGCGTCTTATCGCCCCGCGACAGCAGGGGCGCCTGAAGCCCTGCTGTTCAGGGAACCCTGAGCCGGTCGGCGGCATAAGAGCCGCACCTGAAGCTGACCCGGCGCAGTAATCGGCCACCCCTGCGGAGCTTGACAGGGCAACGGCGTGTTTTTCCGTTTCGGACCGCCACCCCAAAAGGGGACATCTGTCACCGGTCGGTCAGACAAGATGGATGGACGCGCGGCACCCCATCGGCGGTCCAAGATCAAAACAGCGTGGCTGCCTCATACCCTCTCCTCCCCCTCCCCTTCTCCCGAGGTCCCGCCGCGGCGGCGCCAAGCGGGAACTGAGTCAGAGGGGGACGCGCAGAACCCGCCCGCGGCAAGAGCGGGCGGGCCTTGCAGCGCCGCCGGCGATGCGACGCCCCAGGTCTGGGCCCGGTGCAAATTGGGAACCGAGCCCTCGAAGGAGGGCAGGCTGGACCCGCAACACATTGGACGGAGGGAACGTTCCGGCCAAATAATTGGACCATGCGGAAAAACGAGGGTGGGCCTAGAAGAGAGCTGACCCGGCGCAGAAGAAAGCACGAAAAATATACCATGGTGAAAAGAGTCTAACCTAAGGAGAGGGAGGTGGAGAAGTCCAGCAGGAGCCCCAGGGAAGCGGGACGGCCCTGACGCTGATCACCTAGCGATGATCGCTGGCTCTGCGATCAACCAGACGCAGACGGCAACACGCACGACGTGAGTCCACGGGCCATCGTCCCCTCTCCTTACCGGACCATGGACTGCTGTACGCTGCGAAGATGTCCCTTGACCCCTCCCCACCGGGCGGGCGCGGCGTACGGCAAACTTTTCCCTCCTGCGTAATTGGTGAAGGGGGGGGGGGGGGAGCACGGGGGTCATGCAACCCTCAAAAGTCTGGCACGGCGTTTCGGAGCGAGAGGTGTGATCCCTGTTAAAGAATGAGGTGGGGGGTGGGGGTGGCGATACGTCACGCGGTTCTGGAGCTGGACCCGGCTGCGGCTGTAAAGAGGGTGGCGAGGGAAAGTCTGGCCCGGTAGGCTGACATGTGGCTATGTGTGAACGACTGGAAACACCGAAGACAAGCTGCGTTTGAATCATGTGACGTTAATGCAAGGCCAGATGTGATTTGATCCGGCGGCGACGGAACACTCGCGCCCGGCGTGGCTGGACATGGTGATCGAGGCTGGTGTCATACGCTTCCGTGCGACGCCCTGTTCATCAGCCTACGCCGGGGCTATCTTGGTTGAGCCGTTGGAGGCGGCCATTAGGGTTCAGATTGTTCCATTACGGCCGCCACCGGCCATGCGTCGCGACTGGGCCCGGCGTACGGGCCGCGCCCGCATTCCAAGA